GCTAATATTTTACAGTCACCTTAATATAAAATACAAAAATAGTGGGAACATGTTATGTATTTTTTTCATTTTAAAAATATAAATTTAACTCTATTTCACTCTAAAACTATTGTAAAAAAATATTTATTTTAAATATAAAAATTAAAAATAAAACAAAATCAATCCAACTCATCTAAAAAGAGTTAACTGTGACATCGCTGTATATATTTTATAGCATAACTATCATTTGGTGAATATAAGCATTCAAATTGGGGGGGCGGGGGGAATCAATACTAGTTGTCATATTAATGTAATCTATTAATATAATTCATGTTCATATTACCCAAGAACTCCATAATTCGATATTCACTCTAGCTCTTTTCACATTGCCATCACCATCGATATAAAACCTTGACAGGTCTAGTAGATATACCCAAGACCTTGTCAATTCAAGGTTTGAAGAAGTACAGGATTTTTATTTTTTGTTTTTTTTAAAAAAAAAAAGACATAACCGACCCAATTAAGAATCCGATGAAAAAATTCGGCTGAATTTCTCGAGTGTGAGGAAAAAAAATGATATGGGTAAAAATGAAATTGGTTTCCGAAAGAATTTCGAATGAAAATCTTAGATATTTCAAGGTTCTGATAGCATAAACTATAAAGAAAGAAGGAAAATAATTTTATGAATTGTATTATTAAAATATAAAATTTTGATAATTATATCTCTTCATGCCTGAAAAATGAGGTCTGTAAACCTACAGAGACATTTGAGTGCATCCATCGTAAACCTACAGAGACATTTGAGTGCATCCTACAGAGACATTTGAGTGCATCCATTTATAAATCAATCAAACTTATGTAATTAACAACTGTGACATCACTGTGTATATTTTATATCATAACTATCATTCGGTGAATATAATTATTCGAATTGAATTCCATAAAAGTAATGAACTGAAAAGTTGACCCCAAGTCAAAGTCTTCCGTGGAAAAACATTGAATGACATTTTGCAGTATAAGATGGGTCTGTGAGAGACCATTAATGCCATCTGCATTTTTTTCCATGATATGGCTCAGTGGGTTGGTCGACTGCTGTTTTTTCCACGAGATGGGTCCGTGAGACCATTATCAATTAAAATGTAATTATAATTATTTTTTAAATAATTTTTTATATTAAAATATATATTAACAATATTTTTTATTTTTAAAAAATTATTTTTAATATTAACACATCAAAATAATATAAAATAAATTAAATTTTAATAAAAAAATTTTAAATTTTTCAAAAACATGGTTTTCACCACGTTTCCAAACTATACAAATTAAAAATGTAAAAATAAATAAATTCAACTAACCTAATTCTCCTTATTTTGTTTTTATCATTCTTTAAATAACTATTTTAATATATTCTTCAATTATCATTAATTAAAAAAAATGTAACCACCATTAATTACTGGAATTGTAATTAAATGCTTTATTATAATAATTTTTTTCAATATATGTTGGATACTTCCATTCTCCAACATCATTTTTTTTATTTTTTTTCTCGTTATATTTAATTCTTTATCAATATTTCTAACATAAATTGATATGTATTATGAGTTATATTTAATTCTTTATCAATATTTCGAACATAAATTGATATGTATTATGAATTTTGATGAATTGAAAGATGGAAGATAGAAAAAGAAAGAAAGAATGACAAAGTCGAAAGAAGAAGATGAAAGAACAAAAATGAGGGAGAGAGATGAAAAAAAAAGGGTGTACCAATTTATTAATATTAAATTAAAAATACACATTGCAATATTTAAACATTTCATGTGGTATATTTCTAAATACATATTGTAAATATTAAATTCATAATAATTATTTTAATAGACAAATAATTTTTTTATTTGATTGAAAAAAATCCTTCATGTTATTATCACATGAAATTATTATAAATTCATATATTGTATATAAATATCTAGATAATTTTTTTACATTTCTTTTATTGATATGTTCATTTATTATTATCAACTTCATTTGAATTTCTCAAATTTCATTTGAATCTGTATTTCTTTATGATCTTTGAGCATACAAGTTATTTTTATTGTTATTTATTTTATTTAAGATAATTTATGAAATTATATTTTTTTTCAATTTCATTCTCATTCAATTTTTTAATTTGTAAGATTTGTTCCTCGTTATTTTAATAAACTTGAAAAAAATATTAATAAGTTATTTTTTAATTTATTTTCCATGATATAACCAAACACTAGAAAAATATTTTCCAACTTTTTTCCATAACATTACCAAACATCAAAAAATAATTCACTTCACAAGAAAATTAATTTATAAAATAAAACTACTTTTTAGCAAACAAATAGGGCCTAAATAGAAAAAAAAAATTACAATCACAAATAGAAATGCTTATACAAGTATTTAGTAATTGGATCAATATTTGATCTAAAAAACAACTAAGATTAAGATATTTGATATCGTGACATGTATGACTTAATAATATTAACTATCTTTCATTTTATGTATATTAAAAATAAATATTAAAACCTATTATATTAATTTGTGAATTTATCAAACTTTATAGCTATTAATATTAAATTCAAAATTTATACATATTACAAATATTTATAAGTATCATGTGAATGTGAATGCGACATGAGTTACATGCTTAGTTGTGTTTAACAATTATGTTTACTAGATTTTTTTTATGAAACAATCATATGCTCCGTGAAAGGTTAAAAAAAAGTCAATTCTATAACTTTTCTGTTTGTTTGCTAAGAAATAGTTTTTTTTTAAAGTGAATTT